TCCATACATCATCCATCCATCCATCCATCCATCCATCCATCCATCCATCCATCCATCCATCCATCCATCCATCCATCCATCAGAACATTGAAGACACCAGGAGAACCAGAGCTGCAACCAAATGCTGTAAATGTTGAATCAAAAATAATAAACAGAAGTACAGTAAAATAAAAGACAGTCTTAGTTTGTGTTAAAAGCCGAGGAATAAAAAATGCATTTTTAGATGAGTTTTAAAAGCAGACGTAAAAGAGCTCATCTGATATGAAACTGAAATTTGGAGCAGCAACACATGACCCCTCTGAGCTTTCCTTTAGACCTCAGACCTCCAAAAAGCTACTTTCATTGTTCATATTTTTGTGTCCACTCTGACTAAGACTTGATTTTCATTATTTTACTTGTCCACTAGATTATGACATGGAAAGCATGAACAACAAAATGTGTCCTGAGCAAAATACAGTTTTAAAGCTTTGCACACACATCTGGTAATTCCAGATGCTTGGGCAGCAGGTTACACAGCAATGACCTGCTTCACTTTTAACACACCATGGAATCAGTAAGAGTGAATCCATCAAATCCTGGTCAGAACCAAAACCCATCTGACCCAACAGACCACAATAAGAAGAAACAAAAGACAGAAACTCTATTTTGTCACGTTCACACAGATTTTACCTAAATAGGCTGCATGGTTCTTCAGGACCTCTGGAAACTCATCTTTGTAGGATGATTTTGGTGGAACAACTTTACCACGTTTAGTTTCTTTCAAGACCGCCCCATTCCAGTCATAGGCCCCCACCGCTCCAAGCAGAACACCGTCCTAAAGAAAGTCAGAGGTGAAGTTAGGAGGCTCAGAAGACATAAGAATAAACCCTTTATATGTTTTATATATGAATAATAGCAGCACTCAGGGTAGGCATTTCATTAAATATATAGGTGATATAGTGATTGTCAGTTATCACCATGTCCCTGTGGTGGATGTTTCCTGATGTGACGAGTCATTTTTATTGATTTTTGATTTGCAACAAATGATTCACATGTCTGATGTGACTCAGGTGAAAATAAATTAATATGTTAATGTTTTTATTAAATAATAATTCCTTATTTTACATCTAGATGGCCCTTAACACTTCATGTCACTTCTGCTTTAGTGTTTCCATACCCAAACTGAAACCATCTAAGGCACACAGAATAAATTCTCATGAATTTAAATCGTATTTTGATCCCTGCGGTGTTCCGTAGTTCTGAAGCTGTCCATAAAACAGGCTGCATGGGTCAGAAACACAAACCTGAGTGAGACCAGTTCAGTCATCAGAAGAGCCCACAGAGTAAAAGATGAGCTTTATAATCCCGCTCTTTAAAAATCAAAGGGTTGAGTCTCAGTCTTTTGTAGCCTGTTTGAATATCAGCTGCAGCTCAAGCTGCACTCTTGTTTCAGGTCAGGTGCTTCTTTAAAAATCAGCTCTGACTTTGTCTCTCATGAGCTTCCAGTCATAAAGTCTGATAGATTGACTCGGGGAGGATAAATCACCGATTTATTGTCTCTGCAGTCTGACGAGTTCAAGATTTCAATCAGGAGCTAAATATTTGTTGCACATTGACTGCAAATCTGCAGACTGATGGATAGGGTCAGAGTTAAAAACGTTTAGGTTTTTGCTGCAGTTTCAAACCAATCACCTAATATTTTTTTACATTGCAGCGTTTGTCCTTCAGCTTTACCTTGTCCAGAAATTGGATCTCCATCTGTTTTCCAGTTTTTTGAACACTGTAGGAATGTTTAGTTGGCAGCTGTGTATTCAGAAAAAACAAACATCTGTCTTGTGTTAAACATAGTTTCCACTGCATTAAGTTCACTGGAATTCAACACGTTAGACTTTCCCCTTGATGAGAAAAGGACAGAATATTTTTGGAAAAAGTCTTAGTCATTCCAACCAGAAAAGAGCCAGACCGCTGGAATCAATGCCAAATATGACTTCAGAGATATAATTTTTTTATGTATATTATATTTATATTATAATCGAACGGCTAAAATCCTGATGAACGCAGAAGCAAAGGGACTTGGGGGGGCAATGGCCTCACTTTGAAAGCCACTGGCTTTCTCATGGCCCTCGTTGGAAAGTGAAAATAACAGAAAAATGTTTTGATGAACAGAGTCGCTCACTGCAGTGACTATCTGTGACCCATCACATCAAACTGAGGATTAGGTCAAAATCAGTCAAAATGACTTAAACACATTTTCAGATTCCTGTCTCGTTACTCCCGATAATACATTAATATTTGGTCTGACTCACATTTTTATATTATTTTATTGAGGAATTTTTTATTTTATAAAGAGAAAACCTCAAATATTTAGATTTCCCAACAGGAAAGAAACAAAAGTTTTGCTATCTTGCATGGAAAATCTCCAAATTTAACAGGGTTTTGCATATGATCAGGTTTTTTTTGTTGCTACTGCTCAAAAAAGAGCTTCAATTTTTTCTTTAAAGTTATATTTCAGACAGTTCGTTGACATGATACATCAATAAGGCATTTATTTGTTATGTTTTGGCAAAATGCAATTATTGCAATGTTTTAATCAAAATACTGCATCTGCCTAATTCTCATTTCGATGTGACGGGTCACACACACATACATATGCTTTTCTAAATAATATGATCCACTTACTTGGACTAAATATGAAGAGAAACCTGCCTGAGCCATCTGAAGATTGAATCCTTTCCCCTGACTGCTGACACCTGCGAACCAAACACACCCGAGCTTCAACAAGTAATAAAATCCTCACATCAGTCATATTTTATTTTCCTGATTCATAAATGTTACTGGATCATAAAAGAAAAATACGGGCGATATAAGATGTGGGCTCAGTTTGTATGTAAGTCTTTTCGAATACTTTGTATTTTCAGTGAAATATTAAATTGTTTTGTCACATAAACTGTGTGAACAAAGATTAATCAGTGTGCTGGAAAATGCCAGTTTAACCAGTCATGTTGAAAGACTTCAGCTGGTATTTTAATCCACTGCATTTTGAAACACATCTGACAACTCAGAGACTACTCTTCAGTTCCTGGTGTTACTGTGTTCCATTTGTTCATGAAAGGCTTGATGATTAAAACATAAATTATCCCCCACAGCCCCTCCAAATTCAGAGACCTGATCTCGGGCTGTCCTGCTCATAAAATAACTGTACTTTTTAGTTTCATTCTGTTAGCTTGTCTCTCAGTGAACCGGTCACCAACACGTTGTTCTGTCCAACAACTAATAAGCTGCTTCATGCGTTGAATGCAGAGAACGTTTTTGTTTTCAGCTCATAATACTTCTCAGCACAACCATTAATTAATTTTTCTGGTTTTCTGACTGGAACACAATGAGGTTTCGCTTGAAATCAGATCTGAGTTCTGACTTCAGAGACAAATGGATCGGAGCACTGGACCTGCTTCTACCCTGTGGCACCTAAAGTCAAACATAATGCCAGAACATTTCACTACAAACCAGAACACATGGAAATGTCCTGAACACCATTATTTGTTGCCATTAATCCTTTTGTAAAAACAGACACAGAAGCCCACATGTCAATTAAATCAGTTTACAATTGAATTACAGCCAAAACATTTTTATAATTATTATGGAACAACAAAAGTATTACACATGTACTCAGATGCTGTGATGGTAAAATGTTGAACAGTAAACTGTGAAATGTAATGATGAAACATGGATTAAACAAGATACACTGGAACTCCACAAACCACATACTGTATTATGATGATTGTTGTAGCAATAACATTTAGTTAAATGAGAGAAAAATTGTCTGAAGCAATGGTTTAAATGTTGGGGCGGAGCTAAAGGGATAGAAATAAAGGTCAACTGGGATTAAAGTCAGTTTAAAAAGTGACTTTATTTGAACGAACCTTCCAGGGAGAAAATTCTCTCTCCCAGAGAATCCACAATGTCTTTGAGTGCAGCTTCATCTGTCACTTCAAAGAAGTACTCCTCATCAGGGTCACTGGCTATGAACTTGATTTCATTCAGAAAGGCTTCAGGGTTGATTCCTCTACGGTTGTAACTACCCAGGACCTAAAAAAAATCACAGAAAAACAAACAATATTGAACTCATTAAAGTCAAAGTTCTTCAGAACCCTTTCTTAAAGGGATCCCCTATTAGTTGTAACATTAGACTTTATTTGATAAACATATATTTGAACTGTAAAATAAAGACTGTAAAATAATGTAGGATGTTTATTTTTTATCATTTTTAAACTAAAAGTTTTAAAATATATTACACGGACGGGGCCATTTTATTTACACGCAAAGCATTCTGGGTAAATGATGACATCAACTAGGTCATTGGTGCGAGACTGCTAGCGAGCTATATCCACCCTGAAGGTTAATCTTGGACAATATCTGATGATTGACTCTTTTAAATGAAACCAGAGAGCGTTGACAGAGAGGAGAAGGAAGAAATGACTCAGCCTGTAACTGAAAATATGGATGGAGGACAACAGAGCTGCTTCATGGAAGAAACTCAGCTTAGCCTGTTAGCTTCAATGTTATGGTGCGTTCACACCAAACGCGATTTCAGCATCAGGAGCACCAGGTTTACATACAAAGTCTATGGTGGACGCGCTTCAAGCAACGTCGGGAAGTGCTGCGGCGCCTCAAGCGCGATTAGAGCAGCGCGATTTGAACGATTTGAACGATCTGAGCGTTCGACGCGCTGAGGAGCAAATCGCTGAAGTTAGAAAATCTGAACTTTTGCAGCTCGACGCGCAGCGTCAACCAATCAGAGAGACTCCACTGTGTGACGTAGCGACATATTTCCCGAAGGGACAGTTTACTGAATGATGTCCACTAACCTGAAACAGATGGAGAGGAGCTCTTTAGCTGAAATGAGTGCCTGCAGTCAATGTCCTGATCCGCACCAATACATGGCAGCAGCTCATCAGACTGGAAAAATAGTCCTGAAAGCGAGCTATGAGCCTCTACTCTGAATTATCTGGTGAATTAATTATGAATTAATTATCTGATGAACCTGACATGCTCTTGCTCTCTGTAAATAAAGCAAAGTCACTTCCCCGTCCGACATTAAACAGAGCCCGACAGAGGAGGGAGGGGCTGGGAGACTCTGCCGTGCAGCGCTTCAAGAGCTGTCCTGCGTCTGACCTCAAAGTGCACAAGCGACCAACTTCAGCGTTGGCTGCGATTTTGAAGCTGAAATCGCGTTCGGTGTGAATGCAGCATTAGCCCCGACGCTATCACCATATATATATGTATTAGCTCAGCGCTACACATTCTCCTCTCGTCACTGAGGTCCTCCATCCACATGACAGAGAGGGAAACACAAAAATGACTCAGTCTGCAACTGAAAATATGGATGGAGGACCTCAGTTTAGCTTGTTTGTCGTGCTAGTGCTGAGCTAATACATATAAGGCTATATAGCGTCAATGCTAGCACAAAGGCTAACAGGCTAAGCTGAGGTTCTTCTTCCATGAAGCAGCTCTGTTGTCCTCCATCCATATTTTCAGTTCCAGGCTGAGTCATTTCTACCTTCTCCTCTCTGTCAACGCTCTCTGGTTTCATTTAAAAGAGTCGATCATCAGATATTGTCCAAGATTAACCTTCAGGGTGGATATAGCTCGCTAGCAGCCTCGCACTGATGACCTACACACATCATTTACCCAGAATGCTTTGCATGTAAATAAAATGGCTCCGTCCGTGTTAAAATATATTTTAAAAAATTTACAAAACTAAACATCCTACAGTATTTTTACAGTCCAGATTGTTTGTGTACATTTGTTGTTTTTCTGTTTTGTTGCAGTTTTTATTCTTTGTCTACAGGGGGCGCCACTGAAACAGCAGCAAGCAGAAGCCAGGTCGGGGGTGCAGTCCTGCAGGTTTGATTTGTTTCTCTGCTCCAGCACACCTGAGCCAGTGACTGAACCTGTTAAACCAGGTGTTGGAGCAGAGAAACCTCTGAAAGTCAGAACTCACAGCGATAGCGTAAGTGGTGATGTTGTCCTTCCTGCTGTCCTTGATGACCTGCAGCAGCTGAGGGCTGTCGTGAGATTCACCGTCCGTCACCACGATCATCACCTTCTGAGCACCTGGCCTGCCCCCACGCTGGAACGCCTCAGACCTGCAGCAAAACACATCCAGCTCAAATCAGAAATGACCAATAAATAACATAAACCCACCACCCCACACAAACACAGACAGGCAAAACAAATCATTTCATGTAATACAAATTATAAATACATGTCAATACATGTTACATACAATATATGCATATGTGACCATTTTTTCGCAGTTATAAAAATAAATGTTTTCAAAATTTTCATTTTAAAAGATTTAAAACATTAAATAGTTTGTCGTCAACTGGCCTGGTCTAAAAAATGTCACGTGGGATTCCCGGGCCAGGACACCAAACCTTCTTCATTCATAAATGATCCATTTAAAAGGAAATGATGAGAGCTCTGTAGAACACCTTTATTTACATGTAGATTTTACAGTATTTTAGTTAGTGAGATTGCTAGTTTGTGTCTCAGTTATGGCAAAAAAACAGTTTTTTTTTTCATTTTCTCATTTTGCCATAACAGGTCACATGATGTCAGAACACTTCAATGTGAACTGAAGCTGAGTTCAAAATGATCAGACAATCTGCATCGTTCTGATCCTTTCAATATAACACCCCCAATAAAATTAAATCATTTGCATTAACATAATATAAATTCACAGGTTAAGTATACAGCAGCAATGATACAAATAAATCCATTTTGCATACTCTCTTTTAAAAATCAGAGGGTCAGGAAACCTAATGAGACTACAAATGAAAATTCTCCTGTTTTCTTTTCTTTGTTTGTTTTTTTTAATCTTAAGCCTCTAACAGTTGTAGCCCAGTCAGATATGGCTTCAGTCGCTAATGTTTCCAGAACTTACCGAGCCACATTGATACCCAGGGCTGTCCTTGTCTCCTCTCCACCTCTCTGGTCAATGTTCCGAGCAGCCTCCAGTACTTTCTCCACTGTCTGGTATTCACCCAGACTGAACTCATGGACCACTGTGGAGCCATACTGAACTATTCCCACCTGCAATCAGATCACAGGTGAGTTCAGACGTGACGTGCAGCACTGAGAGTGTTCTTCTGCTGCTACTGCAACACAAATCAGAGGAACCATTCAGTTATCAGAATAAAACAAGCACGTGATAGATGCCCTGATCAGGCTGGTTCTGTACCTTTTTGCTAAAGCTAATAGCTAATTACCAGTTAAGATAACCTGTCAGTTTCTTTACTGAACATACATCTGTGCGAGTTTCAGAGAAACTGAGACGTTTATTCTCTAAACATGATGTCCCAGTGGCTTTCACACCTCAAAACACGTTATGTTAAAGACTGGTTCACCCCAAAGACCCGGCCCCCGGGCACAAACAGAGTAATGTTGTGTATGCTGTTAAATGCCAGGAGGACTTTAACCATTTTTATGGGTGTACTGTATATATTGGGGAAACAAATCAGTCACTGTTCAAAAGAATGAGCCAACACAGAAGAAAAACATCATCAGGCCAGGACTCTGCAGTTTACACTCATCTACAGGCCAGCGGTCACTCTTTCAGGGATGAAGATGTTCTCATCCTTGATAGAGAGCAATGTTGGTTTAAGAGATAATTAAAAAAGTCTTTTTGTGAAGAGAAATCATCCGTCATTGTCTACATGTCCAGTTGTCCCCCTCATACAATGCTGTTATTGCAAGTATGACTCAGCACTTTGTGAACAATAGAGAAAATCAGGGCCCTAACGATTGCTAGGCTGATGGTCCTCACTTGCATGTGAGCACCAGTTTTGATTATCATGTGGAGTCAATGCTTATAAGGCTGAGTTTACACGTAACTCCTCAGAGTGAAGAAGTGTCTTGGAGGAGAGATGAAAAGGTTTTTCAACAAAGACGAGCTCGTTCAGAGGACCTACTCAACTTTATTTAGATTTTTCTATCTGGATTATTGAAATGCAATAGCCTAGCGATCATCAACAACTTTTAATGTGAAGTTAAAAAAATTAATTCAGGTAAATATGTGAATGAAGCAACAGACTAACCTGTGTCTGACCTGGACCAATGTAAAACTTCTGCAAAATGTTTATGATGAAGTTCTGCACCTCATACCAGGGGTAGATGGAATTGGATCCATCCAGAACAATAACAATGTCCATAAACGTTTCACACCCTACAAGATGAAACAACACGGTTAATGATGGATGGATGGATGGATGGATGGATGGATGGATGGATGGATGGATGGATGGATTACTCTGTAAGGCAGGTGCAAAGATTTGTTTCAGTTTGAAGTTCTGCGTGGTTCTGGTGCAGACGCCCGTGCTGTACAGAGAACTTCCGCATTCATGAGACCAAAGAGGACCACAGGTCTGAGAAGATGTTCCAATCCAGCAACAACATCAGAAGGAAAACAGATAAATCACAAAAACATGTCAAATTCAAAACAAAGAAGTAGTGCTGTGAACTATTGATTTTGTAATTAAGTTTAAAAAATAAGAGAATGATATCCAAAAAGTATTTTTCCTTCCATCAGGATGAGACAACTTTCAGGTTTGTTCAGTGAGGTCTGCACCTCACAGTGTTGAAGTTTATGATTTTCTCATTCAGTTAAACTCAAGATGAAACTAATGAAAATATAAATCATTCCTACCAGATTTTCCCACACAGCTTTATTTTACTTTAATAAATACTAACATGATGTATTTGACCCTTTCAGGTCATAATGAAATAATTCCAGGACCTGATAAACCCAGATTATTTTATTATGTGTTGAAATGGAAAACCTCACAGCTGAATGATGCATTTTATCCATGAATGTATCAATTTGAGGTTGTGACGAGGACTGTAAAACAGTTCAAATTAGCTCAAATTAATATACATTTAGAAAAAAACAAGTTATGTTGATGTGTTTTCATAAACTCACCACAAAACTGTCGTCTTTAGGGCTGGAGGTTAGCGTCATTCCTAACCTCATCTTGTTTTTCCTTTCTGTCACGTTGTCAAGAGAAAGTTTCCCTGATTGCAGTCAAAACAAGTGTTGAAGTTTTTGTTTTTGTTCTAACCATAAATATATTCTATATTTGATTTAATACTTACCCATGTTGAGTCTGCTGCAGTTTGAAGGTCGTCTAGTATTCAGCAGACATTTGTACACGTCACCAGTTTGTAGTTTTCCTGTGTATTCAGAGGGAGCACCAACCAACAACCTGGAAACACGTGACAACCAGTTGTGTTCACCTGGACTAAAGAATCCCAGCAGACGTCAGTTCAAACTCTGCTGGGATTCTACAGGAAACAGTTTCCTACTGGTGTAAGACTTTGTACTGGGTTTCAATTGATTGAAAGTAGTTTTAGTTGTTCTGCTTCTAGCATTTACCTAACCTTTTACTACTTTTAGCTTTTAGCTTTAGTTCTGTTACTCTTTGTTTTTTATCTATCCTTATGCTAAATTTTACATTTAGCTACTAGTATTTTACCTTTGACAACACAGTTTCCATTTTTTTAGCTCGTTTCAGCAGTCTTTGAGCACTCAACACTCACACTGTCATTTTTATAGGAATTTTTTAGCATTGAATTTATTTGACTTTTTAGTCGTTGAATTTCTAAATTCCTTTTTTTAAACCGGATGGTAAATGGTAAATGGTACTGAACTTATAGAGCGCTTTTTCAAGTCCCTCCGGACCCCAAAGCGCTTTATACTAACAGACATTCACCCATTCACACTCACATTCACACACTGATGATGGCAAACTACACTGTAGCCACAGCTGCCCTGGGGCACACTGACAGAGGTGGGGCTGCCATGCATTGGCGCCACCGGACCCTCTGACCACCATCAGTAGGCAAGGTGGGTGAAGTGTCTTGCCCAAGGACACAACGACTGAGACGGCTGGACGGGGGATCGAACCAGTGACCTTCTGGTTCAAGGACGACTCCCCTAACCACTCCGCCACAGCCGCCCCCGGATGAACATACAGTTAACATGTATGTAGTTCCTGATCAGAAATCACATCACAACAATGATGGAGATTATTAGTCTAAAGAATTTATTCATGTTTAATGTGTCACACTGTAAACCTGAGGAGTAGGCTCAAGTTGCACGACTATACATTCTAACAGGAGTCCTAAATTATTATGAATATTGTTTTATTTTATTTTTTATTTTACCGTTATTTTACCAGGCGAGTCCCGTTGAGATCTCAGATCTCTTTTTCAAGGGAGGCCTGGGCCTGAAGGCAACCTATTGTACATGTTTTGTGGGGTGGGGGAAACCGGAGTACCTGGAGAAAACCCACACAAGCACGAGGAGAACATGCAAACTCTTCACAGAAAGAACCCAGGTCCGAACTAGGGATCGAACCCAGGACCTTCTTGCTGTGGGGCGTCGGTGCTAACCACTGAGCCATCGTGCTGCCTAAAACATGACATGTTTATAACAAATTCATGTTTATGACTGCAGTAAGGTTACAGCAGTCTGGTAGGTGGAAAAGCCCATCTGACTCTCAGCACAATGGAATATGGGACTGAGCAGGTGATGCTGTTCCAGCAACTGCAGGACCTGCAGACAAAATGGTCAAAATATATATGTTTGAGACAAGTTTTAAGACAGAGATTGAAGATGGGTTTGTCTTGAGTAACGTCTCTACGGAGGACCCCTTCTGAAGGGGTCAATAGGTGCAGGGGGTGCTAATTTTGCACAACCATAGTGAGATAAATCACAGCTTCCCACTAAAGGTCAAGAGATATCCTTTCTGATCACACAGTTCATCACATGTTATTTTTAACAGGCTTTATAAAAAAAAATCCAGGAGGGCTCCAACTGTTGACAGAAAACCACAAAAATCCAGACAGGAATTCACCTGAGTTTCTCAGATATCTGAGACATGAAATAAAACGAATTCATTTTTGGCTTCAGTTAAGTCAGATTTCTTTTATTGTGAAAATATACCAACCCTTATCTCTGTCTATTCATTTAAGTGAATTGAAAAAAGCACATCATGGCAGGTTAAGAGCGATACAATTTGCAGACATGATGCAAACAACTACGAATGTGGGGATTCTGGGCTACAATGTGATCCAACACTTGGAGTCGTAAAGTTGACAGGAAAACAAAGCTTCAGAACAAGATGATTTAATCCAATCACTGATGAGCTTTCCAGACCGACGCTGATGGAAAAAACAACTCAGACCTCTTTCTTCTGCAGCTCAAACTGCAGGAGGAGCTGGACTGAAGACAAGATCCAAAACTTTCCACTGATCTACCTGCGAGCAAAAGCCAAGGAGATTTTGCAATCCTGGTAGATTTTAGGTTTCAGACATCCCAGAATTTTTTTTAGAGCAAACGAGGAAAAAAACTAAAGGAAAAAAAGTTTGTCAAATTTGTGAAGAATGACTGCAGACAAACGCAAGAAGGAACAAAACAGTCTGACCTTAAATAAATTAAAGACCTATCAGTTTTTGAAGGAATGCGCCACATCACCTGCTGCCTTTAGTGAGATTGACCCAACAGAGTTAATCTGAAAAACAACATTTACCTCTTTTATTTTTGCGTGATCAGTTAGAAATGAAACACTGCACCACGTTTTAGGTCAGGCTCTGTAAAATTCAGTTAGATATACAAATGTTTGTGTTTGCTTAGGTTGCTTTGCTGTGGTGTTTTCATGAATCTGCTCTTTCTTACGGCTGCAGCAACTTGCTTCAAATATCCTTATTTTTTAATTAAATAAATTGCTTATTTTAACTCTTTATTTTATAATAAGCAATTTATTTAATTTTAAAAAACTGGACTCTCTGGGCTCTCCCTTAGAGATAGGGTGAGAAGCTCAGTCATCCGGGAGGGACTCCGAGTAGAGCCGCTGCTCCTCCACGTCGAGAGGAGCCAGTTGAGGTGGCTCGGGCATCTGGTAAGGATGCCTCCTGGACGCCTCCCTGGTGAGGTATTCCGGGCACGTCCCACCGGGAGGAGGCCCCGAGGAAGACCCAGGACACGCTGGAGGGACCATGTCTCTCGGCTGGCCTCGGAATGCCTTGGAGTTCCCCCGGAGGAGCTGGAAGAAGTGGCTGGGGAGAGGGAGGTCTGGGCCTCCCTTCTGAAGCTGCTGCCCCCGCGACCCGACCCCGGATAGGCGGAAGAAAATGGATGGATGGATGGATGGATGGATGGATGGATGGATGGAACTCTTTATTTTTTGGGCTTATTACAATTATACAATTGAAAACTAATGTATAGTTTGAAGTCTATACTTAATTTCAGAGAGAACGTGTCTTCCCTGCTTTGTATTTAGGATGTGTTGGTTTCCCGAGGCTTAAGATTTTAATAAATATGGGCCAAATAACACAATTAAAGGTGATTAATATTTTAAGCATGACTAGAGAACAAGTGTATGAAGGTGTGACAATAATAGAGAACAGGTGTATGCCTTCCTTTTGTTCAGTATGATTTGAAGAGAGACCATTAAAAACATTCTTTTTATCTCAGGACCAGAGCAGATTTCTAGTCTGACCGATTAGGAAATGTAACAAGTTAAAGAAGTCTTAATCTTGTGCAGGGTTGAGGAATCCTGGTCCTCGAGAGCAGCAGTCCTGCATGTTTTACATTTTTCCCTGCTCCAACGCATCTGATTCAGTCATTGAATTACCTCTTCCAAGCTCTGCAGAAGCATGATCATCACACAGTGAAGTAAAACATGCAGGGCTGCCGCCCTCGAGAGCCAGGATTGCCTACCCCACCTAGTGTAACCCTATAACACATCCCAGAAGGTTAGATAGCTTAATATTTATACATGATGTATACTGAAAACCTTGAATATAAAAAGTACAACTCCACCACAACCTACTGACTACAGTCCCGAATCAGAGAAAATAAAGGGTAAATGAGCTGAAGGTTACTCCTGATCCCAGATTACTTCTAAAAAATAGCTTTTAGACATAAACTTCACGAAGATTGGCTCCAAACATGGCAAGAAGATAAAACAGCTGCATAAATAAAAAAATAAAATAAAGGTCTTTTGGAATCTGTGGAAAAAATCCTGTCAGATGAGACACAAAACAAAATTATTTGCCCTTTAAAAGAAATTTCAGCTTTTGGTTGTAAACACCTGCAGCTGATGGGCAACCTCTGTGTGTGTGCTCCAGAGCAGCTGTGGCTACAATGTAGTTTACCACCATCATTGTGTGAACATGTGCATGAATGGGTGAATGACTGTAGCGTAAAGTCCTTTGAAGTCAGTAGGGCCTTGGTAAAGCACTATACATATACTGAAAGTTCAGACGTTTCACCATTTGTTAACTTTTTGTTTTGTGTTCTGTTTATTTACTTCTGCTTTTAAATTAATTTATTTTATTGTTTTTTGTCTTTTAATTCTTTGCCTTTTAATGTCCTGATGCATCTCAGAAATCTAGGTAAAAAATCAAAAGGCAAAAATTGTATAGGTCCTCTGGACGGGTTCTTCT